ACTTCTGGTTAATATAGATAATCTATTAGTGATGAACAGATGATACTGTTTTCTTTCCTTTATTCGATATGTATTCAACTTTTTATTCCATGCAAAACCATATACAGGCATGCCAATGTTATATATTTCTGCACTATTGTCGCCATTTGTCTACTACTGAAGTCGGCCATGATACATTATTTCGTGCCAAACGTCACAAGTAGTTGTTCACGCTATTCCTTACTGTTTTCTTTCCTTTATTCGATATGTATTCAACTTTTTATTCCATGCAAAACCATATACAGGCATGCCAATGTTATATATTTCTGCACTATTGTCGCCATTTGTCTACTACTGAAGTCGGCCATGATACATTATTTCGTGCCAAACGTCACAAGTAGTTGTTCACGCTATTCCTTTGAAATGTTTGATCTATTTAATGGATCTGATAGCTTCAATGAAAATTAGAAATGTATGTTCTTATAACCGGAATTTCGAGCGTAAGAAAGTATATTTATCACATTATACAAATATTATATCGTATACGGCCAAGTAACACTAAAGCTGTGAATTCGGTAAGATTTTCCACGAATTTTGTATCCTGTTTACCCCCAAAGTGGAGATGAGTTACACGTTCACGAAAAGACTGGAATGTTTCACTGAAAAAAAAAATCACTCGCCTCCGACGGTCAAGGAATCTAATACTCTTCATGTTCAATAACTTGCATTTATTACAAGAATATTAATATTAACTTTGATAAACAATCTTTTAAAAAAAAATGTTTTTCTTATTTTTGTCTTTTCTATTCATTTAATATGTCATAAGCCTGCGAGGTAAAATAAGCAGAAGTCAAGTAATACTTCAGAAACATAGTGAATATTAAGTCAGGCAAGTTTCTTGAAAGCTATTACTTAAAACCATGGTTTAGGATAAGTTTTCCCTGGTGCAAAACAAAAGACTGTAGTCATCATATTTCCACTTGTAGTCATGTTGTATTCTACTATGAGATGCAGACAAAAGCAATTCCAATAGAAGTTTGAGGAAACCTCATATTAAAACTATACTAAATGCAAGGTAATTGCGATGTAGCAATCTAAAGAATCCTTTACATTTCATAAATCTTTCTGGTAGAAGTTTCGTTCATCTAAACGCTCAGCTGACCTTCTAGAACCCGACTTGCTTAAGGAAAAAGAGCACCAAAGACCCAGATTTTGACATCATTTCCTGGTTGAACAAGATGAAGCAGAGTAATAAATGGGTAGGCTTTACCTGATTGGCTGAATTGAGGTATGTAAATATTTTCATTTTAAAGTAAAAATATTAATGTTTGAAATAAATGATGGAATGTGGGAATATTACAAAAATTCTAGAAATACCAGGGGAGATTGTAGGAGTGGGGATTGATATTTTTGGCAGGGTGTCATTTACTGCCGATCTCTGTAAGTTCTAAATAACTGCAAATTTGACCTATAAACGCCGCGGAACAGTATATTTTTTTTCGTGTTTTTGATAAGTGCTTAGAACGAACTTTCAAATAATACCAGTGATTTGTTTGAACGGGAATTAGTAAATTACTTAGAGGGCAAAAGGTTTGTATAGAGTTCTATGGGAAAATAATTGGTACTCTTTTCCCTATAGAGACCCCATTTTTTAATAAGTAAAGTGAAGTGAAAGTCATGAAAAGTTATTTTTAGCAATTTATTTGAATATTGAAGACATTTCGAGAGAAAAATTAGCAAAAATTTGAATTATTTATCTGTGGAATTAGGGTTAGAGGTGATTTTGGGTCTTTTGTAGAGATTGGGGGGGGGGGGGGGGGGGGGGGTACAGAGGAGGGAAATTGGTAAAACAATGTGTAGTTGACTTGGCCATAGGAGAAAGGTAAGTTAAGAAAATGTATCAGATTGATCTCATAATAAATGTTTGTATGTATTCATAAATTTATGTATGTATTTTACATGTACATGTAATTGTGTATTTATATGATTTGCTATATATGTGTACTTTTGGAAGTGTAGGATGGTGGCCTGGTGTTAATTTTTGTTTAGTTTCTTATACGTCTGCACGTTTGGTATCTTTTCGAATAATTTATTCGGCCCTTAAAAGTGCGTTTCGTGGTGTTCATGTGAAAGGAGGTCATTTTCTGTCTTGACGTATCATGTCGGTAGTGTATGTGATCCTCTGGATTGCCTCCCTTTGACTGCGGGGGGATCAGTTTGTAGTTTGGTTGTCTCTATATTGTAGCTACACAAAGGTATGTGTTTTCCCTCTTTTTGCTCTTTGTAGTTCCATCAGGGTGACTCTCTGCAACTCATTTTCTACTGCTTTCCAGTTTTTGTACTTAGAGTTACTTCCCTTAGACTACCTAACCAAATATGTAGAATTTCAACATGATATAATCTTAATTATTGTGACCTTAGGCTTCTGATTTTGTTTTCTTGAATTATTGGAATGGCATTACTGCATGTATCACATTTGACTTTTCTAATATTTACATGTAATTACATGTAAAATTGTAAAACATGTATTCCACCCTTGACGGATCCATTTTTAAACATTCGGCCATGTAGAAGATATGTAATTTGGTAATTTTTCAGAAAACTTGAAAAATATTGCTGTTTTCTTTATGATTTATGCTTAATTTGACTAACTTTATTGATTTATTTTCATTTAAAGACTATAGAGGACTTTCATATTTCAGCTTCCTGGACCCGGGAGAGCTTGGTATCTGATCGGCAGGGGGCATTTTCTCTATATAAGAAGAAGATGGAGACTCGCTACCCACCCGATATATTTTGTCGGACAGATTTCTGTACATTGCAGGTAAATTTTTCATTTATTAACTTTTCAGCCTCTTATTGTGGTGTACATTTTGGGGTTTTAAGTCAATTATTGCATTTCTTAATTTTTTACAAATTAATCTGATTTCCCCTTTTTAAAGCATGAAATTCAATAATGTAGATTATGGTTGTACTGTATAAGACTATCAGACACTGCACTTTGATTTGTTATCAAAAGTATTAATTTTCTCTTGTCTGAATTAATTGTAAACAAATATAATAGGGGGCACCTGCTATTTCTCTAAGTGTCTTTCACTGGGGGGTGGGGAAACTTTTTTGTATATACTTAAGCAACAGGAGGGGTTAGATAAGAATCATTTAGTATATCAGAGTCTCAAACAATTTACTTTTCATAAGCATAAGAAAATTTCTATATCAGTCTTTTTAAAACCTTTTAATTTTGCTTAATTAATTATGATTTATCAAATTTTGGACCTTTTTTCTTTATTCTGGGTAGATTCCACCCCTATGAAAAAATTGACACAATTATGACTTTATATCATTTTATTAACATCAAAAAACAAAATCATGTTATTTTATAAATATTTTATTCATTACAGTGACAACTGTATCCAGATTTCATCACAGGAATGAAAGTTTTTCACTCTTTGGAAAAGCACCTGCAGCAGGGAGGGGACATTCATTAAGATGGCCACAGATTCCAAGACACTGAAGTGACAGGCCTCAAATTTCATACATGTATGTTGGTAAGTATAAGGTCTTTGAAAATTACAAAATTGACTAATTCTGGGATAGGTAAATATGTAAGTATAGGAAAAAGAGCACCAAAGACCCAGATTTTGACATCATTTCCTGGTTGAACAAGATGAAGCAGAGTAATAAACGGGTAGGCTTTACCTGATTGGCTGAATTGAGGTATGTAAATATTTTCATTTTAAAGTAAAAATATTAATGTTTGAAATAAATGATGGAATGTGGGAATATTACAAAAATTCTAGAAATACCAGGGGAGATTGTAGGAGTGGGGATTGATATTTTTGGCAGGGTGTCATTTACTGCCGATCTCTGTAAGTTCTAAATAACTGCAAATTTGACCTATAAACGCCGCGGAACAGTATATTTTTTTTCGTGTTTTTGATAAGTGCTTAGAACGAACTTTCAAATAATACCAGTGATTTGTTTGAACGGGAATTAGTAAATTACTTAGAGGGCAAAAGGTTTGTATAGAGTTCTATGGGAAAATAATTGGTACTCTTTTCCCTATAATGGCGGAGTTTACGGAGACCGCCGCCATCTTGGACACGCTTCAGATTTTTAAATGCGAATATCTAGTGTGTGGATTGATCAATTCTTAAATAAATTATATATTTGGCTTTTCCAGTAGGATCTTAATTACCATTAATTATATCAAAGAAAAATATTGAAAAACAAAAAAAGTTGAAAAAGTGCACATTTTAAATTCACTTCCTGTAGCGACCGGAAGTGCTGACAACGCAAACGAAGGCAAAATTGCACATCTCTAACTCATGGTCTATTATCTCTAACAAGTCTCCAGTTAATATCTTGAGCCGTTTTCGAGAACATTCGAAGACAAAATTGCATTTTAAAATCAGGAAATTGCCCATAACTTGGCACTGGTAGCGAATTTCCCAACAAACGGAATTTTATATAAAATTCATATAATGACCTATAATTCCTGAAATTTTCATTGAAATCCACCGAATAGTTTACGAGAAATCGCCTGCACAAAATTTTGTCTAAAAAAAAAGAATAATAATAATAATAACTAGAAAAGAAACTCGTTGCGAGCAACGAGAGGTCTTCCGTCCGATTCAGAAAAAAAAAAACGTAAAATCAAACTGAAAAAGTGATTTTAAAAATCGGAAACACGGGGGATCGAACCCGGGTCGTCAGCGTGAAAATCCATTGCGGTACCCATTACACCTTTCAAACCGCTCAAATTAACATTCAAATAACGC